CAATCTTATGAATTTATTTGTTAATTTGTCGGAATCTTGTTGTTGTATATTATTCTGCTCATAAGACTCTTGAATTGTTAAATTATCATTTAACATATCGTTTTGCCCATGTATAACATCTTGGTACTCTTGATTTGATAAGTCGTCAATTATGTTTTCACTTTTTAAATTTTGTAAATCTTCTACTTTAGATATAGGATCATCAAATGTATAGTTATTATATGCAGGTATATCAAATGGTTCATCATCACTAACAGCAGTCTTGAATGTTGTTTCAAAGTCTTCTTATTCTTCTTCTTCTTCTTCTTCTTCCTTTTTTATTTTTGATACATTTTCACTCTTGATTGGATTATAATTTCTATTCACCAATTTCTCCAATGGAGTAACTAATGGTTGAAAAGTTTCTTTCAATATATTTTCTGCAGTCTCTCTACCACTTTTAAGTATACGATGTTTCTTGCGTATAGCATCACTTGCTTTTGCTATTTCATGAAGCGTTTCTCGTTCTTTCCTAAACATGTTTATATATTGATGTCTAAAATTATACTAATGAAAGTTGTAAACCAATAGATACTTATAACTGAATAAAGCAATCGAAACCTTTTCTATATCTTCCTTCATTTAAATTTCGGTCTTTGTCTATAACAACAAACCCATATCTATCAGAATTCCAACATGTTGAGCATAAATCACAAAATTGATTGTAAGTCATATCTGTATTTACATGATCATTATAAACATGCTTAAGGTTTCTCTCATCTTGTTCAAAAAGTACTAATAAGTTAATATTATCTCTAACAAGATATTTGGGAATGTGGACATATGTCTGACATAGATAGAAACTGTCAACGTTGACATGCCTACCCATGCAAAAAAATGCTTTTACATTGTCTTGCTTCTCCCAAGCAATATCATCAAAAATAAATACTGAATTTGGTTTAGCGTCTTTAGGTAAAACCACTTCTTCATGTTCTCTAAATGGAAAGTATTCAATACCATCAACTTTACTGAGAACTTTTTCTAAAAATTGATATTTTGGTTGTTGTAAAGACTTTGAATATAAATATATATTTTCAAAGCTTAAGCCATTCGGATGTATGATTGAAGACAAAAGAGCATTTGTCTTTCCACAATTTGATGGTCCACAAAAAGCTGCACGAATGCTGTTAGAAAATAAACATCCATGACGTTTTACACAATCATCATTGTTTGGAAGAAGGTTATCAACATTCACTATTGGGAGTTGAACATCTTGTACATTAAACCGCATCTTGAAATCGACTGAAGGTATAGGTATAAATATAGCATTTATATAGCTGTATCCAATCAGTTAGTTGTGAACCATAGTTGAGTGAGGAAGGATTACTCATCATAAAGTGAAAAAGAAAAATAAAAAAATTTCTTGTCGTGGTCAAGGCTTTCTCAATACTATGATCAATAAATTACCATTCGAGTTTCATTTCCCGGGTTATCAATATTGTGGACCTGGTACGAAGTTAGCAAAACGTCTTGCACGTGGTGATTCTGGTATAAACCCTTTAGATGCAGCTTGTAATGATCATGATATAGCTTATTCAAAAGATAAAGACGTGACTATAAGAAATTCTGCAGATAAAATACTTGCTGAGAAGGCGTGGGAACGGGTTGTTTCTAAAGACGCTAAATTAAGTGAAAAAGCAGTTGCATTAGCTGTAACTAATATAATGAAAGCCAAGTCTAAATTTGGGATAGGGATAAAAGTTAATAAGAAATATAAAAAGATTAAGACAAAGAAATCAAAGAAGAAGAAGAAGAAGAGTAAGAAGGTTGTTTCTAAAAAACATGTTACTTTAAAAAAGATTGTTAATGCTGCTAAAAAGTCTATGAAATCTAATAACAACTCTTTAGATACAATTAGAACTGCTATGATTGAAGCAAGAAAGGCTATAAAACAGTATGGCGGTAAATCTAAGATTATATCACCTCGAATTCTTCCTATACCCTCAAAAGTTGGTGGTATTTTACCTCTTATTCCAATTTTTGCTGGACTGAGTGTTTTAGGGGCACTTAGTGGTGGAATTAGCGGTATAGTGAAAGCTGTAAATAAAGCTAATGTTGCTAAGAAAGAACTTTCAGAAGCTCAACGACATAATCATACTATGGAATCCATTGCTTTAGGAAAAGGTCTATACATGAAACCATATCAACGAGGACTTGACCTTTATATGCAACCTTACAAAGGCAAAGGATTATATAATAAGAAAAAATATCAAAAAACTAATATTGAAGCTACCTCACCGTGCACTAAGTGATTATGATCTTCTAAAATATTCTTAAAGTTTAAAAATACCATATTTTAGAGGAGTTTTTATGAGAAATGAATTACCCATAGGAGGACCATTTCAATATGAATCAGCAATATTAAATCTCGATAATAAAGAAGGTCCTGGAACTCATTGGGTTGCATATAAAAAGGTGAACAATGAAACCGAATACTTTGACAGTTTTGGTAATCTTTCACCACCATTGGATCTCATTGTTTACTTAGGTCTTGGTAGCTATATAAAATATAATCATGAAAGATATCACAATTTTGATACGTTTATATGCGGTCATTTGTGTCTTAAATTTCTGTGTAATCAACTTACAGTGAAGAATAACTTTAGTCTATATAAGAATGTGTAACCAATTTCAAGCTTCAGTATACAACTAAACACTTAACATGAATGATTCTATCACTCTCACGTTATCAGGGAATTCTTCAACCCTTGAGGCTTCATACTTTCCACCAATTGAACTATCATCTAACAAAAATTATGTTCTTGGTCTTGTTGAACTCCTTACATTTAACTCAATTCCCAACATTGATAAGGGTGCTAATACATTTTATATAGATGGTTTCAATATAGAAATACCTACAGGTAGTTATGAAATCGAAGATATTAAAAAGCATATTGAACAAAGAATAAGACGCACTGGTCTTGTTTTAAAAATGATGGTTGATACAAATACATTACACTGTACAATTGCATCTAATCGTGAAATTGACTTCAGTAAAGAAAATGGTATAGGACAATTATTTGGATTTTCTTCGAAGTATCTTGGAGCAAATACAGTTAATGTTTCTGATTCAATTATATCTATAATGAAGGTGAATGCTATACGTGTTGAGTGTAATATTACAACAGGATCATATATTAATGGAAAGAAAGTACATACAATACATCAATTTTTTCCTTCTGTTTCTACTGGATATAAAATCATAGAAGTTCCAAATAATGTCATTTACTATCCAGTCACCGTAAAGATAATATATAATATTCAGCTGCGTATAATTGATCAGGACGGTAATTTAGTTAATTTTAGAGGAGAGATAATAACAATACGTTTACATATAAAATCAGTGTAATGGGAATTATTTACAATCAAAAAAGAAAAGTTGGTGGTAGTTATAAAAGTGAACCAACATGTGTAAAGAAAAGCAGTGTGAATGTAACTCGCAAGGTGTTAACACCTCAGAATCAAATATTTCTGAAGAAACTTGGTCTGCGAATCAGACATTAAAAATAAAGAAGAAGCAGAAGAGGGGTGAAAAATTCTATCTATTCATTTTGTGTCGTTGTTATAAGAAAAATGGAGGAAATTCTCAGCATTCTAACTCAAGTGAATTTTGATGAATCTATAGCAAATTATGAAATTCATAGTCATCAACCATATGCATCATCATCTTTCAACAATAGTGATGAAATTCGGTTAATAGTTCAAAATCAAGATTTATATATTTTACCGAGTAGCAGCTCCTTACATATATTTGGACGCTTGACAAAGAATGATGGAAACACTTTAACAGAAAATGTTGATCTCATTAACAATGCTATAGCTTACTTATTTGATGAAACTCGTTATGAATTAAATGGTATTGAGATTGATCGATGCAAATATGTTGGTTATACTTCAACTATAAAAAACCTGGTTTCACTAACTCCTTCTCAACTTATGCGTGTTGAAAATGCAGGTGTGTTTGAATATTCTGCTTTGGATTTAAAAATGACTTTAGAAAATGGTTATTTTAATGTAACAGTACCACTTAGTATGCTTTTCGGTTTTGCTGAAGATTATAAGAAAATTGCTATGAATGCTAAACATGAACTCATTTTGATAAGGTCACGAAATGATTTAAATGTTGTTATTTAAACAGGAAATCTTGACAATAATGAAGAATTTAAAATTACAATTAATAAAATTGAATGGTTAGTACCATATATTTTACCATCTGACAGTAATAAAATTAAATTATTAAAATTTATTGAAAAGGATCCATTAATTTCTATGAGTTTTCGATCGTGGGAAATGTATGAGTATCCTTTACTTCCAGAAAGTTCAAGAATTATGTGGCAACTCAAATCTTCATCTCAATTAGAGAAACCACGATATGTAATTGTTGGATTTCAAACTGGAAGAAAGAATAAACTAAAAAATACATCCTGTTACTTTGATCATTGTAATATTACAAATGTAAAACTCTTTTTGAACTCACAATCTTACCCTTATGGAAATTTAAATTTAAATTTTGATCAAAATCAGTATTCTTTATTATATGATATGTATGCTAATTTTCAATCTTCTTATTTTGGAAAAGATTCAGAACCTACTTTAGCTATTAATACTTTTAAATCAAAAGCACCTTTAATTGTTATTGATTGTTCGAAACAAAATGAGTTTTTAAAGCAGTCTTCAGTCGATGTACGTTTAGAATTTGAAGCTAGAGAAAATATACCCGCTGATACAACTGCATATTGTCTCGTCATACATGATCGTATAGTTCAGTATAAACCAATCAGTGGTATTATTAAGAAATTGTAAGAAAGTGGAGAGGGAAACAAAGTGGTGGGGGTGATGTGGAGAGGTATATAAGACATATCTCTAAAGCAGAAACTTATATTTATTCAAAAAAATGGAGTTTATAGTAGACGTTCAAGGTTTCAAAAGACCCTGCAATGAGTTTATTTTCAAAGAGTTGGCTATAGTTCCTCTGGAGGCAGATGCTCAACCAAGAGTTTACCTTTTTGAACCACCTTGTGCTTGGAATTCACTACCTGGACGTTATAAAAGTGAAAACCTGTGGTTAACAAACAACTATCATTCAATCCCTTGGATGGTTGGAGATGTGTGTTACGATGAAGTGCGAACCATTTTACAAGATGCATTACGAGGAGCAAAAACTATCTATGTTAAAGGTTGTGAAAAAAAACAGTGGTTAGAAAAGTATTTAATGAATGTATACAATTTAGAAGAAACTGACTGTCCAGCGTTTAAGAATATTAAAACTGAATTTTTACCACCTACATGTACTCATCATATTACACAAACTGAAAATTGTGCAGTAAACAATGTATTTAAGCTTCGAAATTTGTTTTTAAATGTAACGAGTGAACTGAGAAACTTCTCAAATGGTATCGACGAAGTGGATGATGATGATGTGAATACTAATTTAAAATCATTTTATGAAAATTATGAAACATTATTGTAATAAGTTTAATTTTCTACATACATATGAATAAATGAATTTTATAATTTTAAAAATGTTGTCTTTCTTTCTTGATATACCTACTCCTTTAATATTATATACTTGAAACATTTTTTTCCTTTAACTTTAATAAAAATTTACTTATATAGTTTTATATAAAATACAATTATTTAAAAAATTATTTAAAATATGAAGGTAGAATAATAAAAAAATCCATTTAAAAGTAATTTTTTTTATTATTTAAAACCTGTAAATATTTACATAATTTTTTACAATATAACCTTAGAATATATATTTTATTCAAATTCAATAACATTAAATTTACCATCAATATACTTTAATCGCAACTTCTCCGATTGCACGGCCTCTTCCATCATTGTGAAGGAGGTAGGGTCATCTTCAAAAAGTTTTGAAAACCTTGCCGGTAGAAAAGTGGTAAATGTAGCATCCAGGTCTACTACAATCCTAGAACCATATTTCGTCTGCACCTTGTTTATTTTAGTTACGTTGTATAACTCATTCACAGTCAATTCAGAAAGCGGCTTCGTTGGTAGAAATCTCTCCATGCGACCAGTGGCGTTGACTTTTTGGAAGTCCATTGTTTTAATATCTGTAAGCAAAGAAAAAAAGATGGACTTTTTAATATTAAATTTAAAAAAACTAATTTGGAATACAAAATGTTTTTATTAAAGAAATGAAATTTACCTATCAAACGAGAAGATGATGCTGTAGTTAAAGCTGTTAGTACTGCTAATGCTGCTGTATATGCTGAAGCTGCTGGTACTGCTGATACTGCTAATACTGTTGCTGCTACTGCTGGAAATTTTAATAGAAGTGTCGAATCGTTGCTTCCAACCTACCTTATATCCCGTAAACCCCCACTCTTCTTTTTCAACTCCCACTGTTTTACCCCCACTTTAACGACTGCGCACGCAACTACCTCCGCTTTAAGTTGAAATGAAGAGTCATTTAGAAGACGTGTTCAAACTCGCATAAAAATGACGTCACTAAAAGGGTTTTTAAGGAATGCCTTTGTTCTCATCTACAGTCAGGTTAAAACCTGTCTGAAGGTTTTTTAGACAAGCTCTTTATTCTATTCAAGATGCAGGTTGAAACATGCTTTAAAATTTTCAAACAATACTATTGTTATCTTGAAAAAAGGCAAGTTGAAACTTGCTTACATATTTTTGGACAATACATTTATCCCTATGGTGCTATAGTATTAGTGAGGCAAGCTGTGAGAGTCAGACAGACAGGTCTGACGCATGGAACTTTCACTCACTCAACGCGGTAACCGAACGCGCACTTTTGCTTCGCACTGGGCCTTACCACACTACCCACCACCACTCACTCCCACTACCCACAACGCCTGCGCGGTATCTCGCGAACGCTTAGTCCCTCGCGCTTCTCTATATGATTTTTGAAATTTCTGGTTTATACTAAGTGGGTGGTGGTGGGTGGTAGTATTGGAAATATGTATATAATATAAAAAAGTGGGTGGGTGGGGGGGTGGTGGTTAACTAAGAGCAATGTATTTTACATAGGTGAGCGGGTGGTGGGAGGGGGTGGTATTTTGCATATTCTACGTCCAAAAGGGTGGATAGTGGGTGGAATTTGCATAAACTAAAAGGGTTAACAATGAAAGTTAAATATGCAAATCAAATACCCCACTAACGTCAATTAAAAGGGTTAACTAATTTAAATATATGCAAATCAGGTACCCCACCAATGGCTGGTAAATTACCGACATATACCCCACTAACGCCATCTAGTGACAGAAACTTAAACCCCACCAATGGCTGGTAAATTACCGACATATACCCCACTAACGCCATCTAGTGACAGAAACTCATACCCTCACCAACGACCGGTAAATTACCGACATATACCCCACTAACGCCCTGTAACTTACCCTCGCGGTCGGTAAGTAGGAATCTACATTACCGATATGTCCTAGAACCGGCCTAGCTATACTACTAATAAAGTTTCTGAATTCTAACTTAAAATTTTAAAAAACGGACACGCCACGGAGCTGGCATTTTAAAGGGAATTCTGCAATTTATCAAAAATTATAAGATCTATTTGTACATATTTGTGGTTGCGAATAGGTTTTATATATACCTGTAAAATATATCCACACCCAAGTAAAAAATTTTTGTTTTGAATGTGTTATCTGTGACGCCGCCAAATATTACAGTTACGTGAAAATCATCCATATATAAAAATAATTTGAATTAAAAAATAATATTAATATGAAAAAAAATTATGAATTTTCCAAAAAATTCAAATTTTTTTTTTATTTTGACAGATTGCTGTAAATTAATCAGTTATGACTTTTGTAAGATATATATAATCAATAAATTTACAGATTTTAAATATATTAATTAGAACGGGAGGTATTCAATTTTTTCAAAAAATTAAAAAAATGGAAAATTTCCAAATTTTATATTTTTTAATGTATATTTTTTAAACTTTCTGTAATTAAATATTACATGTTATTTAGTCATATTTTAGCACAATTTTGAAAAAAATACTGTTCTATAACTATAAGATGGAAGTCCTAAGTATAAAAATGTTTTTAATATCAAAAAATTGAAAAATTATAATTGACAGACCAATTACTATCAAGCTTAATTCAGTTGTATTTTTGGGGTCTCTGATAAACTTTTGACTTTAAAATAATGGAATTTAGAATTATTTGTTTATCCAATTAATTAACAATTTTCAATTGCAAAAATTTCGAAAATATTAAAAATTGAGATTCTTATGATAAAATTGATACTGCAGGAATTCAAGAATATGTGATACGATACTTGCATTATGTTACTGGTAAAACTTAGATAGTAAAAAGTTTGGTTATTTTAATTCTAGATTTAACTTTTAGGGATGTTTTGAGCATTGTAAAGGCAAAAGTTAAACAGGGTGTCTATTATTATTTTTGTTTAACAAACTATCCGGTTTTTCCCAGCTTTGTCCAAATTTTTCCAGGTGTATCTTTTCTCATCAAATATAAATTTTCTTGATAAGAATTAACAATAAATAAAACTACAAATGGCTACAAAAATTCACTTATTTTATGAAAATACTCTTTGACGGGTTTTTGTTTTTACTAATACTTTTAACAGGGGTTCTACCAACTGGAAAAAACGGGAAATATGCAGGAATTTAATTTAATCGAAAAAACTGTGAATTCAGCCTGCAATATAGGTCTTATTTTAGATTTTAGCAATTATGATACAATTAGTTCGAATTTGACTTCACTATAACTCCAAAAACAGGTGGAAATTTTGGATTAACTTATAATACAATAATTAAATTTCTACAAATAATTGACAAAACATTGTTCTCTGCATTTTAATTAATTAAAAATAAATTATTTGATGATAAAAAGTCAATCACTGATTTAAAATAGTAATATTTTTCTAATGAAATAGTTAATGGTAGCTAAATATTATTTTTTCCGGTCAAATTAAATTCCCCGCTATTTCCTATTTTTCGAGACTGGTCGACACACTATTGAATGTATTTGTAGAAACTAAAACCCGTCGAAGACGGGTACGACAGCTAGTTTTATAATAAATTAAAAAATTTTTTTAATCACTTGAAAAAAATATTTATTGAATTTATTTATTAATTATTATTTTACTAAAAACAAAATATTATTAATTTTTTCCTTTTTAAAAAGCAAATTAAAATTTTGTAACAAAAATTGTAATTAACATATAGATAAGTAAATACAAAATTTCATTTCTTTTGATTAAAAAAAATTGTTGAAGAAAAATATTTGCATACTTCCTATTTTATAATCACAATTTTTGTAGAAAATTTTCTTATTCTTTTTGGAAGAAAAAACCAAAAGCATAAAACTTTCAAAATTATTTATTATTTTTTTGTACTCACATGAAAATTTTTAGTATATAATATTACTTAAATTCACCATAAATAGTTCCTTATATTTATTTATTTCTATTAGAAATTTATTATTGAATCTTTCCTCGTGACAATTAAATAAAAAAATATTTTTTGGCTAGTAAAAGTGTAATAATTTTTAATTTTAATCAATTTTCAAAAAAGGTTATTCTAAATTTTTTTTCAGTAACAGTAATGCAGGCATTATTATATAATGACAGTCTCAACCCTGAAAAATGCAGAGAGCTATTACTGAATTACTTAGGTGCAGTCAGAACCCGCAGGTCTGACAAGTGCACCAAAAGCGCGTGCCGCGCGCGCGCAACGTCTACATTGTTATTAAATTTCTTTTAAACTATTTTCTGTCCCACTCTGAAAATTACATGGCTCATTGGAAAAAACCTCAGCTTTCCGATGAAATTATTTAAAAAAAAACCCAAAGCAGTCAAAAATCAAAATTATTTTTGAAAAAAAAGAAGTTAAATTTTTTTTTTTGAAAATTGTATTGAAAGCATCAGAAAGTAGGGGAGGGTAGGCTACATTGAATCGGGTATTTTATAAAGTCCAAGAACTAATAAAATTTTACTAATTTTGATCAGGTTTTTGTATCAAAATTAAGCTGAAGTACTCCTTTAGTTAATACACACGTTACAAACACAAATTATTATGATTAAATAATTAAATTTAATTTTTTTCTAACAAGTCACACTTTTCTTATTTTGAAGGATGTGTGTCTACATTGAACCACCTCTAATAAAACACTACAATTTACTTCAAAAATAATATTTCCACTTACACATTGTGAAAAATCTTATTTTTCACTCAAAAAAATAGAAAATTGTTGTTAAAGAGTTATTATTTGTTAATATAGGAGATTAATATATTTTGATGTCAGGTTAGGTAGGTAAAGTGACAGTTTGAGTTTATTTCGTTCACAATTGTGATGAAAGCATGTCTTACAGTATTTTGCTTACTAATTAGTAGAGCAGACAATTTTACAACTCTTAAAATTGAAAATTCTTTGCTTTTTTGGGTGGTTCAATGATGCCGCACTCACTGTATTCACATGACATTCACAACAAAAATTGTTTATAATAAATTTGTGTAAGATTTAAAGTTCTTTATCACATCGGAATATTGAAGTTGACACCCTAAGCGAAATAAATCGCAAGTTTACTAATTTTTAAAACTTCCTATTTCAATAAAAAAACGTCATTATAATTCCACCAAATTTTTTGTTTTGTACGTGAAAAACAGTTTTTTTAGTTTTTCTTTGTAAATAATAAACCTACGTGCCCGAAATTTTTGGACATATTTTGTTTCAGTAAAACTAACTTATATATTAAATAAAAAAAAATTTCACTCAGTCATTTCTCAGAAAATTGAAGTGGTTCACTGTTGACGCTGGTTCAATGTAGCCTACTCTCCCCTACATGAAAAATGCTTTAAAATTCGTTATTTACAAATTAAAATCCATTAAGTTTTATTAAACTTATAGGGATTTCAAAATGTCAATGTTCTCTAAAATGTGAAAGTTTTACCCCCCCCCCCCTACTTTCTACAATTTGTTTTCAAATATTTTAATATTTTGAGAATTTGTTACTCTTATATAGGAGAACAAATTACCGAAATACCAAATCAATCCCACAACTTTTTTTTTAAGGTGGTCCACTTCAGAAATTTCGCCCCCATAGTGGAATTTTTTTGCAATTAACTTTTTAATACTGTCTACAGCGTATAATTTTTAATCTATTTCAGTGTTTTTTATTTTAAATCGAAGGATCTACGATCTTTCATAACGAGCCGAAAAGTATGTGATAATTCGCGATCGGCTTCGCGAAAGTTGGTTCCATTATCGCTGTATAAATCAGTTGGCAAGCTCCGACGTGATGTGAAGCGCCTGAAAGCAGCGAGAAATGCAGCTGATGTGTAATCATCGACGAGCTCTAAGTGAATAGCTTTGACATCAAAACAGACAAAAACCACAATCCATGCTTTATGAGATTTAGATCCGCGGCCTGAACTTGAACGAACTAAAAACGGACCCGCATAATCCATTCTCATATGAGAGAATGGACGAGAAGGCGAAACTCTAGGAGGCAATTCTCCCATGATTTGATTTCCAACACGAGCCTTGTCTCTGACGCAGACAACACAGTTTCTGATAATTCCTTTAATCAGGTTTTGTGTACCAATAATCCAATATTGAGTTTGAGTCACATAGAGCGTCAATTGAACACCTCCATGTAATAAATTACTATGGAGTTGTCGCAAAATAAGGCAAAATAAGGTAAAATAGCTGACTGTGTTTGATATGTTAAAATATTTGTACTGGCGTAATCGTCCACCAAGTCAGATAATGTCATTGTTGTCGATAAATGGTGTAAACATTGTTACTCCTAGTTCCAGATACTTTAATTCTATGGTATATTCTGTGGGTATGTTTATGGTACCTCACAGCTCTACTCATCATTTAGATAACTCCAGTACTAGAATTGATGCAATGTTTGTCAGTGATCTGGATAAGGTGATATCTTGCGATCAACATTCGGTACCATTTCTGTCGAGTCATTATTTGATTGAAATCAGATTTGAGTTTGAGTTTAAGAAAAATGTGCAGCATCTTGATAATCATTCTAACTTTATTCGGAATTTGAAAACTATTCCTAAGGCAGAATTTATATCGCATTTACTGACATATAATTGGACAGACATATACTCTGAACCTGATATTAACCGTAAGGTTTTTAACATTACTTCTTATATAACTTCTGCCTTTGATAAGTTTGCACCTCTTCATTTGCCTGCTTTCAAAAAAAGATATTCACCTTGGATGACTGATGAAATAAGAAAATTGATAAAAGATAGAAATAGACTTCGCAGAAGATTTATAAGAGGTGGGGATATTGCTGATCGGGTGAAATTTAAGAAAATTCGCAATTTAGTCCAAACTAAAATAAGGGATGCATATAATAAATATAATTATAACGTAATAAAAAATAATAATAACTCTCAGAATGTTTGGCACGTGTTGCGAAAACTCAATCTTATTTCTGATAAGAAAAAAGTAACTAGTATTAATTTTCAAGTGCATGAATTTCTGGATGTTTTCTCCTATACTAACTCTAAGGTGCCCTGCTCCCTCTCTGCTGCACATGTTTCAAATAATATTAATATTTTTGATGATAATAAATTCTTTTTTTCCGATATCTCTCCAGAAATCTTTCTTAATACCCTTGCTTCTATTAAATCAAAGGCGATGGGCCCTGATTGTATATCTGTTGAGATGATTAGGTTGACTCTTCCAGTCATCTTTCCTGTTCTGATACATATATACAATTATTCCCTTCAAACAGGAATATTTCCAGATATATGGAAAATGAGTGATGTTCGTCCTATACCTAAAGTTCAAAGTCCAAAATCACTAACTGACTATAGACCTATTTCCTTGGTATGTACTATGTCTAAGCCTTTTGAAAAAATAGTATGCAAGCAGTTAACAGAGTTTTTAACATCCAATGATTTATTAGAGCCTCTGCAATCGGGCTTTCGCTCTAAACACAGTACATGTACTGCTTCATTAAAATTCTTAACTGATATTAAACTCGCTATGGACTCAAAACAGGTCACTGTCGTAGTGTTTTTTGATTTTTCAAAGGCATTTCCTTCTGTGAATCATAGTTTGCTAATTAATAAGTTGTATTCCTTCAAATTATCTAAATCAGTCTGTAAATGGTTCGAGTCTTATCTGAGTTTTAGATTTCAGAGGGTGGTTGATGGGTGTGGTAACTTCTCTGAGTGGGACAATGTTAAATGCGGTGTCCTACAGGGTGCTTCACTCTCATCGTTGCTTTTTAATTTGTTTATCTCAGACTTGGGAAATGGTTTAAAATATTGTAAATATCATAAGTATGCCGATGATTTCAAGTTTTATTTATCTGGTCCATTGTCGTTGCTCCCAGACTTGTTAAAAAAGATACAAATTGATATCAATTATGTTGTACAGTGGGCAAGCGAGAATGGACTTGTTCTCAACTCTGATAAGACTCATGCCATGCTTATAAAATCATCCATTAATTCTTCAACTGCAACTTTTCCCCCTCTTATGGTAGGAGAGAACCCTATTGTTTTTAAAAAACAGTTAAGGATTTGGGATTAATGTTAAACTCTAATCTATCATGGAAGGAACATGTTGGTAACATTACTCGTAATACATACATGATATTACAGCAACTTAATAGAAGCAAGGACTCACTTCCAACTGAAACTAGACTTTTACTTGTCAAATCACTTATTCTCCCATTTTTTGATTATTGCTGCCCAGTTTATGATGATATTACGGATGACTTAAATTCTAAACTGGAGAAATGCTTGCATACGTTTTGTTTATAATCTACTCAAAAGTGAGCATATTTCAAATTTCAGGGTAAAAGCTGGTCTATTAAATGTTGCAACTAGGAGACAATATTTCATGGGAAATTTACTATACTCTATTATTAATAATAAAATCCCTAGGTATCTTTATGATTTCCTTGAATTCAAGAATACTAAAGAAATGATTAATGGTAAACTCCGAGAAAGAAAACCGGTTTTAAAAATACCTTCTCATCGTACCTGTAAGATGCAAAAGACTTTTATAGTTAGAAGTGTTAGGCTTTGGAATAAAATTCCAGCTAATATTAGAGATGCGTCGAGTCAATTCATATTTAAAAAAATGTTTTTTGATTTCTTAATGAAATGTAATAATAACTTGTTTAATATAACATATTGGTAAAATTGTTATTTTTTTGTGATTTAGATTATGTAATATTCTTTTGTTATAGTTAAATATTTTAGAAATAACCAATATTATATGCGTTCTTGTTACTATATTAAATACCATTCGAAATATACTATATTTTTGTTATCTCCCGAATTACATTTTTATATTCATGTATTTGTTCCTTAGAGGGCTTTCAGCCCTAGGAACTCGATTATTGTTAAATAAATAAATAAATAAATAAACTTTTTCAAAGAAGAATTGGAAGGAAGAATCTTTCCTTCTTTAAGACACTGAATTTCAATACGATAAGACCTTGCCTGGTTTTTAACGAATCCAAAACAAAGTAGCATTGTTGATTTCTGTTGCCATTAAATGGTCGGGAAATGAAATTTGACGCTTGAAAGCTTGAACAGCTTGCAAAACATAGGCCTTTACTCGCAGTAAACGTGCCCAAGATGAATTCATTTATGCAACAATAGTAACCGGCGATATCCAACCCATTGGGTCAAACAATTTCGCAATAGTTGATAATATCGAACGTTTTGTAGTTGGCTCTATGAATTACTGAAACATTTTCGTAATGGAAACCCACCTGACTGTGTAATTTGACTGACCTGATCTCTCAACTCAAGTGTAGAGCATATATCTGATCCACCAAGAAAAAAATCATCAACGTAGGTTTGTTTTAAAAGAACTGAAACTGCCAACGGATAATTATGTTTTTTTTTTTTTTTTTTTTTTTTTTTAAATTATGAACCAACTGCTGTAGCACACGAATGACAAGATATGGCGAAGGAGCCATGCCATATGTAACTGTGTTTAATTTAAATACTTGGATAGGCATCTCAGATGTTTTTCGCCAAAGAATACATTGATATTTTCGATCAGATGGTGCAACAAGTACCTGGCGAAACATGGCGATATCATCGCATAACACAAATTCAGACTGACGCCATCGCAAAATGATCGAACACATGTCATTTTGTAACTTTGGTCCAATATATAGAACATCATTAATCGAGATTTTACTGGAAGTGGGACACGAACAATTGAAAACGGCTCTAACTTTCATGGTTTGACTTATGTCAAAAAAAAGGTAATTGCACAGTATATTTTCCAGTCGAATCTTTGGAATGCGTTTCGACAAAGTAAGTTTCACATTCTAAATCTTTTTTGTCTGCCAAAGCAACAGATGCCAACTCTTCTAACTCCCAAAATCGACGTAAATTTTCATCGACCCTATTGTCCATAGAAACATGAACATTAATGTGGTAACTTTGGATAGGAGATCGTCGTAAAGGACCTGATAAAACGCAACCAAAAATAGTGTATTGAGCGACGAGATTTCCAGGCGATCCGGGACAAATTTCAGGATTGAGAGTTTGAGCTTAAAGATCAGCTCCAATCAATAAATCAATTTGGTCACTTTCCCATAGATTAGAATCAGCAAGTTCAAGATTACGCAGATTCTTTGGAATTTCTAACACTGTTAATTCTGCGGGCGTGTATGCAGTGATCTTTAGAAGCACAAATGCTTGAGTGTGAAGCGTTGTTGAACAAGGTTTAGTTGATTTAATTACTATAGGTACCGAATGAAGAACATTATTCGAGCAATTCCCCCCTAAACCCGATACTTTAACATTGGTATTTTTTCGTGGAAGGCGTAATAACTGAACGATTGATTCGAAAAAAATGTGGCTTCTGGCCCCTGGTCAAGCAAAGCGCGAACATAAACACTTCGTCCATCAGGCGCCTCAACCACCACCCGGGCAGTTGCGAACAAAACAGCAGAACGACATTCTTTTGACGAATTAAAATGACGCGAAACAGCAAGTTAATCTGAGTTTAAGACTTTTTAATGCGGACGTAGCAGTGATTACAGCATTGCCCATAATTCTCAAATTATTCAACCAATCTAAAGTGACAGGTGCCAATTCAACAACTGTTTTTAAATATTCGTATATTAAGACTTTAGAATTATTGTAACGTTTTTCGATGCTCCTCGTTGCGCTGAATCTGGAGTTGATATTTGAGTACGTCTATTATCCGGAACAGGTTGTTGATCAGGAATCCTTGACATTAAAAAAATCCAAAGCCTCCTCATACAAATCTTCAGTCTCGAGAAAAAGATCAGGATTGTAAACATGAATATTTTCCTGTTCCTCTGCGCCTTCAACCACAGGATTAACGTCTGGTTCATTTGCTAGTAAAGCGGCATGGTTTTGACGACACTTGTACTAAAAATCTTGTAAATTTGATAGTCGTCCCAACAAAAGCGATCGAGGTGGATTTTCATAGTTTAAAACACGATTAACGATCTTTTTAATTGATGCACATTGAGCTTCTTGCTCGTTTAACACACATTCATAATTGAAAGAACCATTTTTTTAACTGAATGAAAAATGGCCGACCATGTGCACACAATTACGTAACAATCACTGACATTTCTTTTTATTTTCCTCTCTGGAATTATCCGGCTCGAAGGACCATGTTGTGTTATTTGAAAGCGGTGGAAACAAAGCAGCCAGAAAAGAAAATGATGGGAGAAAGCGGTCAAATTCTTCACTTTAAGTTTATTATTAAAAAAATTGTTTCTGGTGATTT